ACCCACAACAGAAATCAATTTGTATGCTAATATATGCTCAATACTACTAATACAAAAAGTAAAACCTGTAGATTAGCTCATGCTAGCCTGTTTTTTGCTTAAATAATCCAGCTTATTGCTGATCTTTCTCTCAAATCCATCAGAATTACCTTTTAAAGATTTTTAAAACTACATAATAAGAAGAATTAGAAAATAGTTTAGTTGTACTACTTTCCGTGAAATTCAATATAAACTAGATAACGTAATTTTTTGTTTACATGCAAACAGTCTTTTCATTTGTCGTAATGTGTAAAAATAATAATAAATATTCAAATTCACAGTATATTTTTTAGTTTTATAATTTCACCTCCAATGGCCGTAAAGGTTCCCGAAAACGCCTCAAAAAGGCCCGCGGACCACCAGTTGATCATCACAGTCGTAGCTTGTTTCGCGGCTCTGGACACATTTTATCAGTGAGCCGAGGAGCAGAAATGGCTCTTTTGATTGTAAAGGTTGCAGAGCCCTGGTTTAGACAATTTGAACATTTTAATAAACACACAATTATATATATGTATATATATTAAAAATCCTGTTTGAAATAAACTAGGCTGATTTTAAAAAATGACCCAATCTGTCCAAAGCCCACCCCCACTGAAGACCCTCAAACTGCACAGCCATGTGAGCTGCAGCTGAAAGATTGTGATGCTGAGCTGCAGCTCCTCCTTGGCTCATGAGTCCACCCTGGCACCGGTTCTGGTGACTCTGACAGTGCCAAAGTCTGAGTGAAGCTATGAGACTACAACTCAATCGTCTGTTTTTCAGTTTTTTTTTTCTTTTTTACTGCAGGGTTCATTTTTTTCCTTCAAGTTTGAGTGAGAATCTCAAGGTTAAGATAGTAAATGTCAAATTAGATAAATATCCTGATGAWCGTCTCACTTGTGCTTTGAAACAGAGGCTGACTGAGCTGCTTAACTTCAGAAGAAAATAAATAATAAAAATGTTCATTTATAATTAGTTTACATTTACAATTACAAAATGTAACAGTGTCATTTGTTTTGCAGATTGTACTTAGTATAATTATGACAAACGATGGTTTGACTCTGTTGTCTCTATGTGGTCCTGAGGTGGACTTRTCCAGGGTGGACCCTCCAAAATGATGAGGTTCAGAGCCAAAACAAACTAATCTTTGTCTGAGAAATTCACAAACTCTCTGGTGAAATGGATCGCAGCAGATTATTGTTTATCATAATAACTTCTGAGACAATTTATCGTCCAGTGAAACTTGTTATTGTGACAGGCCGAAGTTCAAGCATCTCCTTATGTCTGAGGGGACGTTATTTAGAAAACTGTTCATTAACAAAGCAGGGTTTGTGAGCTGAACAGTCTCAAAAAGCAGAAGAAAGCCTGCTGCTAAAACAGCTGGAACAACTACAGTATTACCTGTGGATGTAACTCAGATCAGAAGTGACTGAAAGAAAAATGAGGACAGTAAGGAAGTCAGTGGGACCACTTGTCTCTGTGACTGTGTCTCAATTCAGGGTCTGGGTCCTCATGAGTGCGCATTTGTCGGCCGCATACGTCATTGCCCCGCGCCGAGGACAGTCCCAATTCAAAGGCTCCTCATCACGCGGCCGAGGAATGCGTCCTACTTCCTGTTGAAATCCAAGGATGCATCCATGTATCCTTACCAGCCGAGGATATCCCAGGATTCAATGCGCGGGCAGAAAAATGAACAACACGGTGGTGTTTTTATTTTTTTAACGCATCGGTGCAGTTTGGAAATTCGCCACGGACCGAAGGATTTGTTTTTTAAAAGTAAGTTTAGCAACTTAGCTGATGAAATTTATGCTGCAATAAGACGTTAAATAAAAGAAAATGCAACTACAAGTTACGA